GGCGCGCCGAGGAGCGATGCCGGGCGCAGCGGGGATTGTTGGACAGACTGTGCGAGACGCAGGCCTGGCGGGGAAAGGGGCGAGCAGCGACACAGGGTGACGGCTGCCCCACGTCGGGGCATGGCCGGACGCGGCGGCAGCGGGCCTGCACGGCGGGCGCGGAAGGTCAGCCGCGAGGGCACAGGGCCCGGCCCTTGTCTGCTTACACGCCAACGAGCCGGAGCATGAAACAAGTCACAGCGTGCAAGTACAAGTCCGAGCGTGCGACTACGAGTCACAGCACGCGAGTACAAAGCGTGCGGGTACAAGTCGGAGCACGCAAGCCCAAAGCTTGCAGACGAGCCGAGCCAGGAGGGGTGGCCGCCCCGTGAGGCGAGGTCACAACTCGAGGGGATCTGGGCACGTCAGGGAGTTGCTTTGAAACCAGCGGGATGAAATTCAGCAGAGACGAGGGCGAGGGGCAGAGGGAGCCTGGCGCAGGCACCACGTGCCGGCGCTGCCGGAGAGGCTCCGCGGGCCACAGGAGCGCCAGGAGCCGGCACGGAAAAGGCAGGCCTCACCGAGGCCCACTGACGCGCCGCAGGAGGCAGAGGCAGCGATTCTTCCTCCTGCGCTGCGGGGCCCTCGGCAGGAGTCCTGCGTCCCGTCTTGCACGCGGCACGGTCAGAAAGACATGGAAACCTGTCCAACGGCAGCGGGGACAGGGGCCCGGGGAGGCCTGTATCCCCATCGCGGGGGGTCTCCAAGACCAGGCGAGGCCCCGTGTCTGGGACAGCCTCAGTTTACTGACCCGGAGATCCCTTCCAGCCCTGCTGCCTGGATGACCTGTGGTGTGTCTGCACCTGCCGAGGGTGCCAGACAACAGGAAGCCCTCCCAGACCAAGGGAGGAGGAAAGAGCACGGCGGGCGGGAGAGTGGAGGCCCCCCGGGCTCCAGGACAGGGCAGACGGGGACCCCGGTAGGGGGAGGCCAGGGGGGACATGCAGCGCCTGGCAGGAAGGAGCGGGGGTT